CCCTGCGTGGCATACTTGTTTATTTTCTTAGGTGCTACTTAACATGAGTCTTGTAAACAAATAAACAAAGAGTAAACTTTTTTTCATTTTTTTCTTCACTGGCCTTTTCCCTAGCAATAGTTGGGTTCAATTCAGCTGTTTAACAACCTCAGTATATGTAAGCTCCTGTGTTTCATGCATATACTAAATCTTTATATGTATATATACATATATATGTATGTATATATTCAGATTTACCCATTTTACATGCACACAGATTAAAATATATCCATGTGTATCATATAAATGCCTTCCTTAAATGATAAAATATGTCTAAGATACGGAGTACAAAGTAAAACCTCAACCGTGGTTCAAATGTGTTTGTTTTTTTTTTTCAAATGAATATGTTATTTGAAAAAGAATCCGATGGCACATTTGACTGTGATGCTAGTTGCTAGAGCTTTGAAGTATCTTCCTAGTGTCATATTTCATGATTTTCCTTTTCACTTGGTTTAATATTATAATCTTTATTCAGGCATGAGCTTTTGTGAAAAAAAATCAATAATTACCTTTGTCACTACTTATTTAATGAATCCATGGAAAGTCTTCATTAAATTATAAATGCCTCATTACTGATATTCTCATAGTAGATTTTTTGAAATTATCCTATGAGCCAGTTACTTATTTCAAGGAAGATACAATACAGGGAGATTAGTACATGTCCAGTGGAATGGGTGCTGATTTTGCTAATGCAATATTCATGAGAATTTGCCGAGACAATCATGTTTAATCCTGGAGAATAAGAATTTAAAATGAATCCTTTAAAATTATAATTATCTGTTGGCAAGAAACTTAGCAAGTTTTATTGTTTATATAATTGAAATGACTGCTGTCCTTTAACATGAGAATGTTTTGAGAATATTTACAATTTGAGGATAGAATCATAAATATTGCACCTATAAATATGCTCAGTGTAAATACTTTTTCCTTACCTGTGTTTACAAGTTATTTGTTTCAGGGGAAATGATCCTTTGGCTATCACACTAAAATGTTTTTCATGACCTTGATGCATTTTAGGAAAGGGTTGAAAAGGTTTGAATTGTTGGACTGTGCTATGGTGATACATAATTCTGTTCTGAGTTTGAATCCGTGAGATGTCAAAGATACCGTAAAGTGAGGAAAATCAACATATCCAAGGCAGAATGATCATCGCTTGGAAATCAAGAGCTCTCTGAGTGTCACAGACCCTCCCCCTGTCGTTCCTTAATTGTTTATGTATCTGTACGGGGATAAATAAAACCTATGAAAGCTGAAGGTTTCTATATCCAAGAAAATAGGCCTATTGCTTCCCATGGTGCAGGAATTCATACGGGTGACGTAAAGGCTGTTATTTCAGAGTCTGGCTCAGGTTTTAGCATTAACATTGCATTACTTCTACTTACAGAAGTTGTACCTCCTTAGTCATTAGGACTCAGATGAGAATAGACTATTTAGTCTATATGAAAACATGCAGAACTTTCGTCATTTTGTCCTGATAAGGAATGTATGTGCAATAGAAGCCCCTAAGTCGGTGGGCGACCCAGTAGTCAAAAACATGTATACATCCTGAGGTGAAAGCAGTGCTTCCCTGAGTACCATAGGAATTTCAATCTCTTCTGTGGAATATCTCTTTCTGACCCCATGGAAGTTCAGGAAATGTCCCAATATTTCTTTGCTCACTTTTGTTTGGATAGTGAAAAAAAAAAAGTTACCTGTTCAGTTTTAAACGTGAGAAAATAATTTTAGTTCACTTATTTGCAGTAAGTACTTACAACTGATTCAGCATTATCCGGGTTTTGCTTCCTGGAAGTTCTCAGTTAAACTATTACTTCCTTGAGTAACTTTGTTTCCTCCTCCTGCATCATTCCTCCATGGAGAAGGTAGAAAAGAGCAATGGTGGGATATGATCTAATATACTAGGAATTACCCTGCTCAGTTTGGCCTGTGCGTAAAGCTCTCGAGGGATGCCTTTTGAAGACTTTTTAAATAGATTCTTAGGGCTCAGGAACACATCATTAGGAAAAATTTTGTTGTTGTTGTTGTTGTTGCCAAGATTCCCTTGAAGAAGGCAAGTGTATTTCCTTGAGATGGTCCAATAGGATTCCTGCCTTCAGGCTCTGAGTATCACTGCAAGTTGAAGTTCTTTGAACGGAGTTTTCTTCACCATGCGGGCCTATGCTATAAGCGGACTAAAACGGTAGCACAATTTTGTGTTGACCCTCTAGCCCACAGTCCTGGAGTGATGCTCATGTCTTGTCTGTCCTCAGAAACACAGACACCAAATTGACCCCTGGTTCGGCAATATGTTTTCATTCTGACACCAGGGCATCAGCCACCCACAGTCCAAATCCCAGCTTGTTAACTACCTTGAGCACTGTGAGAAGATACATATCAAAGTGTCTTTGATATTAAAGTCCCTTTCCTCTATACTTCAGATAATGTGAAAGTAACCTCCCACTATTCAGGTATGCCCAAATCATATGATATCCCAAATTCTAAGTCTTCTAATTAAGAATCTCTTCTTGGCTTTTCTGCCTTTTTGATAGACTGGAAAGAAGTAATTAATTCAGGGCCCTAAAAACTGTTCTTGCTTTTGCCAGTCTGTCTGATATGATCACATATCTCATTTTGTAAAGTGGAAACAGTCTGTTTCCTGATTTATTATCGTATCATCTCAAGATCTCTGCTGAAGCTCTTGCAAAAAAGAATCTATTTTAACATTCGATTACACTCACACATCATTTTCTAACTTTCCATTATAAAATTATTTTAAGCACACCTTGATTGATACAGACCTATTAACTTCCAAGTATAATGTAAGACCCCAAGGTGTACCTACTCAAGCAGAAAAAAATCAGCCTGGTGGCACAGGAGAGCTGAATTTACCCATTCTGTCAGCAGCAGTTTTGAAATGGCCTGGTGATCTTGCATTCAGCCCAGGCTGTGGGCGACAGCACAGTCTCACTGTCTGGCTTTCTAGCACAGCTTTTTCTTTTTGCTGCATGACCCTATTCGTCAAGTTGCTTAATCATTCTGTACAAATTCCTCATCTGTAAAATGGAGATAAAAGATATTACTCCCATTGTGGAAGTGTTGGGAGTGTTATTCGCATACATGTTTATAAAGTACTGAAAACGGTATGATTGACACTGTGCAGTTATTAGGAAACTCAGAGTCTAAGTGAATAGGACAATCTTAATAGCTACATACAATTGTGGTAGATTTTTTTCTCCCCTAAACTTACTTTTATTTCCATCATTTTTTCCCATGAACATTACTCATAAATAAATGTCATTGAGAGGCATTTTATTTTTTTTTTTATTCAGGTGGTGAATAGCAGAATTCTAATAAAAATGGAAATTTTATCTAAAAAATCTGTGAAGACTTTAGATTTTCATTTTGATCCATATGTTTTCATATGTACTCAATATTTTCTCCTTTTAATAGAATTTCTATTTTCTCATTTTCACTAGCTTATTTAATATTGAATGAATGCACTAGATATCTTTTTAAAGCACAATGCAACTTGAGAGGAAAATTTCTTAATATCTTATGAGGTATGATGTTTATTAAATGAATGTGGGTGTCATGTTGAAACAAGTTAGGAATTTTTTTAAAATTCCATCAGCCTAAAGCAACCCAAATAATCAAAAAATAAGAGACACAGTCATTTCTTATAAAAAAGAAGTCCTGTGAATAATGCTTATAGTGAGATTTCTGGAAACAAATCTTTAGGATGTCTACACTTGAGATAACAGACAATCTCACAAATAACTTTGAATACTTTCCTTCAATTAATGCAGTTCGAGAGAAGATTTTCTCCTAAGGAGTCTCTGTGTGAGCTCATGTCGTACTCTTGCTGCCCAGTTTAATGCAAAGGTTCTACGAATGAGCCTGGGACCTTCGGTTTTAATATTCTGATTTGAAAGCTCTACAGTAAAGGATAGAGAGTGTGTCCTTTCACCCCCACGCCCCTCATGTTGTTCTTCTCAACAGAGGTCTGATGAGAGGCGAGCTGCAGACAGTTTGGGGTTGTGGACTTGACAAGGGCCTGTGGCGCACGTATTTTGTGCTCTTGACTAAGGGCAAATCCCAATGCTTTCCGAAGCTGCCGAGCTCACGGTGGAGCTGACAGCCCTGCTATTACAGAGTGCTTCTCCGAGGACATAAGCATGTGTTTCTCTTTGCCAGCTTGTATTATGAAATTCTAAAGTTAACAGTAAGAATTTTGTGCTTTGAATGACTTGGAAAGCTGTTTTGCATTATTTAGAGAAAGGCTTGATTTTAGGCAAGCACGCCCTTGCTTCACCTTAGCTTAAACATAATGTGAGAATAAAGGAACTGAATTTTAGTGCTGGTATGTTTCTGTTAAGATATACCACCTTGAACAAGTCATTGCGCCCTCCTGTGTCATCATATATCATATCATCTTTAAAAGAAATTGAAAAGGTCTCAGACTCTTAGGATTTGATGGTTTTGTGAACAATGACTAAGAAATTACTCATTATGTAATTGTGCATCGCAGCCTCTTTAGAATGATTTTCTATAGTATGAACATTTGTCAAATGGCTTTAAACAGATTTCATTGCTCTGATTCACCAGTTATTAAAAAGGAATCATTTCAAGTCTCATTTTTCTTGTGAAATGGGAGAAGGAATTAAAGGAACTGTAAGAAAGAAAGTCCTTCTAGGCACGCCACTCTACGCCTTCTTGGTGGCAAACTCCAGGAAGAATGTGGTAGCAAAATTCCCTTGAAAATGTGTCTTCTGCAATATCAGTATTCATGAAGGAGATGTGCCCAGTTTGCTCAAATGTCAAGAACCTTGCTTCAACCACTTGTCATTTTTCATAAATAAAATAAGAGGAAAGAAGCTATTGTCTGAAGCATGTACTTGAACAGTGGTTTGTAGGTAATTGTTGCTGAGTGTTGACTAATCACACCAAGTTGATGCAACTCTTATTCATTCTCTTCTCACTTCTAGCACCAAGGAAAAATTGGAGTTAAGTTTAATGTTGGGACAGATGACATCGCCATTGAAGAGTCTAATGCAATCATTAATGATGGGAAATACCATGTGGTCCGTTTCACAAGAAGTGGTGGCAATGCCACGTTACAGGTGGACAGCTGGCCAGTGATTGAGCGCTATCCTGCAGGTAAGCAAGTGAATGTGTATCTGGGGAAGATTTTTCTGGAAAAAAATTCAGACAACAAAACTGTTTTGTGTTCGTTTCACCAAAATGTGGATTTCTGAGAATTCATCAAGTGTTTATTGGACTGTAGAGTCATTTGAATGTAATGATGTCCTAAACTGTTCTGGTTAATATATATATACATATATATAAATATTATATGCTATTATATATATATGTGTATATATATATATACATATATATATATGTATAGCATTTTGCAGGCAAACTTGAAGGTGCACGTCATTTACAAAATTTAGGACATCCTTGAAACCAGAAAAATGCACAAATAAAAAAGTCATACTATGTCTAAGATTGTTATATTAACTCCTTGCCTTTGAATGGAGGAAAGGCTTTGTCAAAAGTAACACAAAATTAAAACTTAAAACTAAGGGAAGTTTTACTACTACACTTTATCTGAAGAGTGAAAAATATTAAGAGTAAGCAGGCATGGTGGAAGCACTGGAAAGGCTCACAAGTGGAGGAATGGGGAACGGCAGGGTAAGTTAGCAGTAATGAGAAGGCGTATGGAAATTTTATTTTCACCTGCATAGGACTAAGGAGTCTCTTGATGAGTGTTGGATGCGGGTGTGTTTTGTTTTTTTTTTTTAAGTCTATAAAGTGAACGTCAACTATTTTGATAATAGAGGAATGACCGTATTCATTGCTCGGGAGCTTTGTCAATGCTATGCTATAGAAATGAATGTGGTGGTTTAGAAATACAAACCAGTGTTGCCTGCAGTCACCTGTATTCACTATTAACAACATGAGTTATTGTAAAGTAGAATCCTTGATATGGACATAAAGATGTTTTACTGCAATTATTATCTAGATTTTAGTATGATACAGGTTACTAAACATGTCAGCCTTCTTTCTATTTTCTGTTTAGATGTAGCAATGTTTTTTTTCCAAACGTCTACAAGTTAGCCTTCAATACAAAGTAAATGTATAAAAGAAAATTTAATTTTGATCAACAAAAATGACAACTATTATTTATCTAAAGTCCAGTACTGTGATTATTTCTGATCAGGTAGAATTGGTTGAAATGACTATTTTATTAACAAAGTATCCATCGAGGAATGAAATGTCTAAATCCTCTGGTTTCTGATTTATATTTTTCCTCATTTCAAGCCCTGGTGCCAAGTTATTCTGTATGCCTGGTGCCCTGGAAATTCTTGCTGGATAAAATATAATTGGAAAAAAATGCAGAATGGCAAAATTCAGCAGCAACACACAAGCGCATTAATGTGTTCAGTGCCTTTTGTAATACTGGCAAAGGGTAGACAATAAATATTTGGTGAATTGCTGTTTTGAGAATTTTATAATTATACATTGCAATTGTGTAAAAATAGCTAGTCTGTTACCACCTGTGACTGTCTATCATAAGATGAAGAGATTGAAGATCTGGTAGTAAAGTAACTTAAATATATACACAATGTTTTACTAGTCACTGCATTCACTGAAATGTTAGTGTAAATATGCTGGGAACAAAACTACAATTGCAGTGGGATTATAGAAAAATAAACTGGTATATTTCCTGAAATCTGCATTAGCCAGTTCTGAAGCGTAACTGATGCTGGAAGGGAATAAGGGGTGTGTGGGGGATCCAGGCCTCTGTCAGGGGGTGCTGTCATCTGTGCATAGTGAACTGTAGGCATGTAAAATGAGTCCTCTTGTATTGATAGAGCAGTGGCTAGGTCTTGGAGGCTAGGTTTGTTTAATAATTCTCTGACACTGTCTTATTAAATTTTGCACAATTATCAACAGCGATCAACCTCATTTCTGAAAACTTAGGAAGTTTAGTACAAGTTAACTATGGGGCATAATGAAATAAAAATGCGTTATAATTAGTTTCAGACTGTCTAGGTTAAACTAAGTTAAAATAATCAATACTTGCAATTTATTTTAATATGTGTATGTCTGAGAGGAAACTATAATATTTTTCAAGCACAGATGATCAATATGAGGTTTTCAAATGTTGTTTTGCTAACATTTTATGTTTTTTGAAATTTCTATGTCTCACAGTCTTATGATATTTAAATGTGATTAGTAATATTCTAGTTGTACATGAACCAGATAACATGTAATGAATATCCTGTTACAAAGATACAGCTCCTGTCTTCTTGGAGGAAACTCGTTTCCAGTTTGAATACTGCTAACTGATATTGGGGTAGTATTGATTAATTATTTAAAAAAAAAGATTTTTAGGAGTTTCTGATTAGTAATCTAGTGCAGATGTCATATTTTCCAATTAAATGGATGCTCAGAATAAGAAACATAATGCAAAATATATTTAAAACTGAAGGGGCTGGTTGTGCCAGCATCCCACAGGGTGACCTGTTTGAGTGCCAACTGCCACACTTCTGATAGAGTGCCCTGTTGCCATGTGATGGGAAAGAGTGGAAGTTGGCCCCAAGTACTTGGGACTCCAGCACCCACTTGTGAGGTCTAGGTTGAGTTTCAGACTGATTTAGGCCTAACCCAGTCAGTTTCCAAGAGAACCACTCAATTGAAGTGCTTCTCACTCTTTTTCCCTCTTTTGACATAAATTTATTTTTCCAATAAATCTTTAAAAGCTGTAAGAAATATAAGAAACTGACAGTATCTGAATAATTCTGGGGAAAATCTTTAGAAATAATTTAAATCAAACCTTTAATATGTATCAAGCATTCCGGAAGTCCAATCATCAATAAGTGATTCAATAATCATAATAAATTAAGAGGGAGCCAAGCAGCATTTATTCTAAGGAATGCTTCATAGGAAAAAAAAAAAAAAACAGTCCATCTTGAGAAAAAAATCAGAGAACATGTGAGGCATTCCAAAATATACATGTAACAAGTTAATGGTCAATATGTAAGTGTCATGAGAAATTTTATTAATCATCTATTCTGCATGTTACCAGTGTGAATAATATATTCTGTATGTTTACCAGTGTGACTAGGGACTAAGCCAAGAGAATATTTCTTTTAAAGATTTATTTTATTTTTATTGCAAAGGTGGATATACAGAGAGGAGAGACAGAGAGGAAGATATTCCTACCAATGATTCACTCCCCAGGCAGCCGCAATGGCTGGAACTGAGCCAATCTGAAGCCAGGAGCCTCTTCCGGGTCTCCCATGCGGGTGCAGGGTCCCAAAGCTTTGGGCAGTCCTTGACTGTTTTCCCGGGCCACAGGCAGGGAGCTGGATGGGAAGTGGGACTGCCGGGATTAGAACCGGCGCCCATATGGGATCCCAGGCATGCAAGGCGAGGACCTTAACCACTGTGCTATCGCGCCGGGCCCGAGAATATTTTTTTGCTTGGAAATTTATCTGCAACTTTATACCATGCCACAAAGTTTGAATACAAATTGTAAAGTGTATATGTTATCAATATTGAAGTTTTTAGAGCAAAATTATTTTTAAAATATGCATTCAATAACCAGGTGCGGTGTATGTCTCTTATATCAGTGTGTGCTGTGGCTATTTTTGTTTTAATACGTTGGTTATTATTCATTAGAAAAACAGCTGGACTAATGCATTTACCACCAACTCCTATAATCAGAGAAGCAGGAACCAACAGATTATATTTGGTTCTTTTTAAAGTGCCTGCACTGCAAAATACAGGTAATAAGGGTTGAAATTAGCAATTAACTATAGCACTTAACCTTCCATAATGGGGTTTTGTGGTAAGTGCTTTTATATGAAGCAATTCATCTGGTGGCGACACTATACCTTTAATGAAAAGCATCTAATGCATTGACCAATCGTATTATCCTATAATTGTCTGGAAGGCATTCATAGAGAAAACTTATTAGCAGAGGTAGGTTTTATGCTTTTAGGGTATAGAAAATATTCATATTAACTACCAATTCACAGTTCAAAATAAATATTGAATTTTATGAATAGAAGTCCTGGTTTTCATTATTTTTCTGAGCACAGAGCAAAGGTACAGGAATTATATTTCGCAACCCATTCAAAGTTGAAAAACCCATTTCTTTGTCTAACCAGTTAAAGCTGTAAAACACAACGCATCATTAATTTCCGATTTGTCCCTAATTACAGTTACATAGCAAAATTTTCATTCTCAACAAAATAGACCTCCTCCGCCTCCCCTAGTAAGATTAATCCACAAAACCTAGCATCATCTTGCTTACCGGACTCTAGGTTGCTCCAGGTAAATAACAGTTACCTTTAAGAATAACCTTGGAACTCACTTCCAAACTACAGCATGCCAAAGATGGCTTTTATCTTCCTGAGGTTAAATAGTTGTTTTATTCCTGTTAACATCTGGTGAACAATTAATTTAAAAGATGAGTGTTACATAAAAGGAGCATGCCAGGCTTAGAGTCTGCTTATACAGATAAGTAAAATATTCTACTTAAAAATATATCACCTGGGAACATGTAGGCATTATATAATACTCTGCTAAGAACACAGTGTATCAAAAATTGGAAAATAGAGTCCAAAGAAAAAGAATATTTTGGAATGATTGATACGATAAGATTTTGAAGAAAGTAGTGATATTGGCTTGGATCTTTGTAGGTAGTGTTCGTTTGGTAGGATTTTCAGCAAGAAAAAGGCAGAGAATGAATTTAAGAAGCTTTTAAGCAGTCCATTTAGAGAAAAAGCATTAGGGCCTAGCACAGTGGCCTAGCCGCTAAAGTCCTCACCTTGAACGCGTCAGGATCCCATCTGGGCGCCGGTTCTAATCCCGGCAGCCCCACTTCCCATCAAGCTTCCTGCTTGTGGCCTGGGAAAGCAGTCCAGGACAGCCCAAAGGCTTTGGGACCCTGCACCCGCGTGGGAGACCCAGAAGAGGCTCCAGGTTCCCTGCTTTGGATCGGCATAGCATCAGCCGTTGTGCTCACTTGGGGATTGAATCATCGGTAGGAAGATCTTCCTCTGTGTCTCTCCTCCTCTCTGTATATCCGCCTTTCCAATAAAAATAAAAATAAATAAATCTTTAAAAAAAAGAGATAAAGC